TGGCAATCTGATGGTGTTAAAAAATCCTGCAGGGTGTATTAACTGTGCCTTGATTAGAGACGATTAGAATAATTTAGATCTCCACTTAAACAGGAGGTGCAGAAGAGCTGAAAAGTGGACAGCACAGAAATACTCAATAATATTATCAGATTCTAAGCCAGAGAAATTTTGTCTCCACAAAATGAAAGAAACAATCAGCTGCGATAAATCCTGGATGCTCCCTGAGCATGCGTAGGTTCTCTCTGGGTACTTCGGCTTCCTGCCACAGTCCAAAAATATGACTGTTAGGTTAATTGGCTTCTCTAAATTCTCCTTGTATGTGAGTGAGCTTGTGAATGGTGATTTGTCCTGTGTGTCTCTGTGTTTCCCTGCGATAGACTGGCGACCTGTCTAGGGTGTGCCCCGCCTCTCGCCTGTAGACAGCTGGAGATAGGCACCAGCACCCCTCGCAACCCCAGCTGGAATAAACAGTGACAGACAATGGATGGATTAATCCTGGACGGCACAGTTTGTAGCGCTGCTATCTTGCAGCAAAAAACTCCTTACTTTAGTTCCTTGCATCTTTCTGCAGTGAGTTTGCATATCCTCAATGTGGGTGGGTGGGTTTTCTCAGGGTACTGCAGCTTCTTCCAGCAGTCCAAAAACATGACTTTTAGGCTAATTGGTGACTGAATTGGCGTTAGGTGTATGTGTGGTTGCATGTCTATGTGTTGCCTTTAATGGACAGGTTAACAGCTTAGACTTCGACAGATTTTATTTGTGATTTTGTTTACACAAGTATAAAACGAAAAGAAGTTTCATTTGTAACAACTCTCTGGACAATTTCATCTTTTTAAAAGTGCAGCCTTGAAAAGTAGTAAAAATGTCACAGTCTTGGTTTTCCATTTGTTGTGCTCTGCTGCCCTCTTGTGTCCTCTTTCCCTAGCTCTGTTTTCTGCTCTGTCCTCACCTGTTTTCAATCCTCTCGTTAGCCCTCTCTTTGTCTCTGTCTCCTTTAAAAGCCCTCCCTCTTCGGTTCCTGTTTGCTGAATCCTCGTCTAACGTCTGTCTGCTTTCCTCGTCTCTCCCTGGCTCCTAGAGTTTGGTTTCCCCTGATGTCTCCTTGGTTCTGGTTTGTTGTTATTTTTGTTGGATTTTTGATTCCTGCCTCTGAACCTGTGAACCTCATTAAACCCACCTAAATTCACCTCTGCCTACTTGCCTCTGCTTTTGGGTCCTCCATCCAACCACAAATCCTGACAAAAAAAAAAAAGAATTTATATATATACATATATATATATTATAACAGTAATAAGCATATGACTGTACATTTACAGTTCTAACTTTTTTATATATAAAGATACAATTTAATAAAATACAATAACCTATTTTACAAAACATTCAGCAGTCTAATGGCAGTGGGGAAGAAACTGTTGTGGAATGCTGTAGCTCTTTCTTAAATCTCATCTTGCCAGTGCAGAAAGTTTGTTTTTATTTTTGTCTGTGCAGGAACAGAGGTGAGTCATAAAATTCAAACATTGCTCCTCAAAGACTTCATTAAGTCGAACAGGAGTTTGGCTCCGACACTCACAGAAAACCAGTTTGTCGGTGTAAATCCAAATCTGTGTACTCAAGCCATATCTCACACATCTGAACATTAACTGCCAAATAAAGCTGCACCTGGGGGCTCTTTGCCAGTCAGAAACAGAATTTACCATCCCAGTGAATGAGTTGGAAAATTGAGAACATCAGAAGAAAATGAAGCAGCTGAGTAAAGGTGGATGGGTTTGCCCCTCTCCGACTGAGGTCTAAGTATTCCCAAATGACTCTTATTCTAGAAATAAATTGTGTCTAAAAAAGGTTGCGCCTGGCATTCAAGACAATTAAGCACTCCCCTGATAGAGGAGGTAATAGTGAGCGACTGCACCAACATTCTGCTCTTCTTTCTGGTGCGAAAAAAGAAACTTATTTGCCTCTTTTCTTCTTTTATATATTACTGCAGTTCAATTTTTCTTCTCAGAACGTAGCCATAAATGTCAAGCCCTGAGCTCTGCCTGCATTGCTTTTGGATTGATGGTTTGTTTGTAGGTTGTGGCCCATAAAGACTTTGGTCCTTGAGATCTACCACTGTTTCCCTAACTCAGGCAGCTTGGTGTAACTTATTGTTAGACATCCCTACATTAAGGTTGTATATGCTGTAAAAGAAAATAAAATTAATCTATGAAAAATGCAGTGTTTAATCTTCATGAATTCAAAATCAGAGAAGCTTTAGGTTGAGTTTGTTTGTTAATTGCACTATAAAACTCTGCATTAATAGTTTACTTTAAGTTTATTCAGACACATAAAAAACACAGACATATTGTGTATTGATGAACAATACTGTTGCTGAAAGGTTTAGGCTGAAGCAAAAGCTTATGAATTTCTCCCTGCTTATAACTAAATTAAGCTTCACTTGTCTTAAAAACAATAAACAATTCTGTAATATATAAGAAAATATGCTTCACCTACGATGATCATTTTCAGATACAGCTATTTTGAAAATAAGGATAATATAGTTAAACCATCTAAATTTGGACAAATAGATAAGACATAAGGAAAAATAACTTCAGGAGTTTACTCTTTTCTCCCTTTTTAAGGTTTGTCACTAGTAAATTAAAGGTCATTTAACACATACAATGATAGATCTCAAAGCTTGTATTTTACGCAAGCAACTCTGCTACTCTGTAATAAAGCTTTCAAGTCTAAAATTTCCTTTGAAAGTCTGTTTAAATTGTTGGTTTCTAAATAAAACAATGTAATGAATCTTTTAAACATTGGTGTTTATAAAAGCCTGTATCTTAGATTAAAGGTGAGAAAGACTTGTATTATAATGAAAACAGCCATATATAGAGCACATATAAACACACACCCATCTGTCTGTCTATCTGTCTGTCCGTCCGTTCATCTATCACTTCATATTACTCAATAATGTGGATAGAATCTTTAATTACCTGTTTAATGAAGCATAATCTGTAAATCTTCCTCTGTAAGAAGAATTCTACTGATAAAGCAGTTTAAATTGTCAACCAAAACTAAAGCAGCTTTTGGAAACACTTTGCTGGTCCTGCACCCAGTAATCAAATGGTCAGTCTGCCTCAATAGCATGTAGATTGCTGATTATCTAATTTCCAAAAAACATATATATATATATAATTTTTGTTTTTTTGTTTTTTGGAAGATTAGATTTCTAAATGCTATTGAGGCAGATATGAATCTCTTGGGATATTCAATAAATTGATTCATTGACAATCAGGTGACACGAGAATTTGACCAATTACAGTAGAGTTTCCTTTATCTTAGACAGCCAATCAAATACTATGTGTATATACCTGACAGGTCCTGTCCATCATTGTGATACCACCAGGCATACAGATTTGAAGCTTTGTCGAGACCGATAAAGTTTCTCCTGTAGATAATTTCTGTCACCAGTTTTTTAAACTTTACTTTACTTTTATACTCTGTTGGTGAGACAAAGTAAAGGAGTAGAGTAACCACATCAGTAAATGACTGGGCTAAGATGAGGGATATTACAATGGTCCTCTGCCACAGTGACAAAACATCTAAACATCGTGACTTGCATTGCTCACGCAATTCCAAAAAAAAACATGCATTTTGAAGTCAACAACCTGTATGAGACAGAAACTTTGTTATAACACACAAATAAGTTGTTTTGGTAGGGAGATAAGTTTCTGCCAATTAACCACGTTGTTGTGCTGAACCAAGTTAACTGTTGTGTTTTGCTAAATTGTATGGTTGTTTTTACAAATGATCTTTGAGTTTTAAGATTGTTATTTCTGTTTCAAGAATTGAGCCAAACCAACGGAGAAAAAGTGCAATATTGTAAATCAACATCAGCCCAGAAGTTTATATATATATATATATATATATATATATATATATATATATATATATATATATATACGTATATATATATATATATATATATATATATATATATATATATATATATATATATATATATATATATATATATATATATATATATATATATACATGTGGGTAGTGGGTAAAAATGCCTAATCAATGCAATGCAAACAAGTATGTGGTCATAACACATTAGGAAAATATTTAAATGTTGTTTGAAGTATTTTTCTTTCAGCAATACCACAAATATAAAAACAACAAGTGCATTTAGTATTAATACCATGCCAGATTATTTTCTGGGTTCTGTCAGCTAGAACAAAGAGGATGTTGACATTTATAAAGCTTTAAGATTCCAGGAATGGGATGAGACTGGAAGAGACTCATCAAAATGGAATCCAGTGGAGAGTTCCAAGAATGGCAAAACAGGTCAGTAGGTTCAGCGGGGATTTAATTTTTAAAAAAGACCCACATTGATTTGCATTTTCTCTTCTTTCTCTTAAAAAATGAAATTAAAAAAAAAATAAATAAATAAAAAGCTTTTTTGTATCGACTCTATTCATTCTTGCATGATACAACAAAAGAGCCAAAACATTGTATATTATAATTTAGTATAGTTTATTACATAACTTTTACTTAAGGGGAATGTAGGTACCTTTAAGGCAAATTATATATATATATATATATATATATATATATATATATATATATATATATATATATATATATATATATATATATATATATATATATATATATATATATATATATATATATATATATATATATATCTTTTTGTTTAAGCTCCCATCCATTTTCGCACTGAACTGAATAAACAAACAAAAAATAATAATAATTTTTTTATTATTATTATTATTATTTGTGTTTGTATGGGGTACTTCCAACTCTAATGTTTTAAAGACTTATTCATTGATCTGATAAGTGTTGTCGGATACAGTACATTTCATTTCTAGCCTCCTCACTACTATTATGTAACTAAAGCATACATTAGATAAATCGTTGCGGTATCACATTTATGAGGATGGAATCAATTGTAGTATTTCTTCCGGGTTGAGGAAATCCAGGGAGGGATGAGCGAGGAGATGCTGCCAGTGTTTGCTGAGCACATCAGCAGCCAGCCAGCCGGTCGGGGCTCCTGCCTCTCAGTCACACAGACAGCCGCATAGGAGACAGGCAGCAGCGCTCAGGGCGCACGAGACTCAAACCCATTCTTAGATTCTCGCTTTTCGTAAATGGATATATTCAGATGTAACGCTGTTTGAGGCCGGGTGGTGTTAATTTTGGAGAAGAAAAAAAGAGAAACGGGCGAACTTCCTCTTTTTTTAGGTACCCGGTTCGTCTGAAACGTTTGCAGGGAGCCGCTCTCCCCACAGCGTTAGCTCGCTAAGCTAGCTAGCCCGCTAACTTAGCGGTGAGACTTTGTATCAACGTCAGTTTTCTGCCTCGGAGCTAGCCTGCGGTCTTTTTGCGCCACGGCGGCAGATTGACGTGACCTATCAGGACAGGTAAGTGAAAGAAGCATGTTCTGTAATACTGTTTATTTATTTAATTTTTTTTCTGAACCCGTATATAAGCACCGCTGGTTTCGCCGCTGGCCAGCGAGCTTCTAACGGTATCTAGAAGCAGCCTGGTGCCTCGGCTGGCTCCGGGTTCTTGTTGACAGAAGCAGCGAGGATGGGATGCGATTCATCGTTCATCTCTAAGCTCACACTTGCTTTTCTTGCGAGCTCACGTGTGCAAGCTTTTTGTTAAAAAAAACACAAATCCTCAGACATTTTTATTCAATCCAATGTTTCTTTTTCAACCTTGAGTGCTGATTTACGGCGAATGGGCAACTGTCAGGGTAAAAAATATTTACACATTTGCCGCATACCACCGCAGTTGGGTTAAATAACAGTTTATTCAAGTAGCTGTAACAGTTAACCGATACCCAGTTCTCTCAATGTGTGTAAAGGAGCTGTGCAAAGTTGACCGTCACGCTTTCTGCAATGGAGAACGTGTGTTCGCAGTATTCCTGGTGGTCGTTTCCTCTCTTTTTTTCCTCCCTATGAAACATTAGAGCTTGGGTGTTGCATTACAGGCTGAGAAGATGAACCCTAAACAAGAGTTTAACCTCCGATTGTTAGCTCACGTGTCGGTTAGAGGTCCGATCAGTCACAAAAAGGGGGGGAAATGAATAGAAATGTGACCAGCTTATCACATTTAAAGGTTATGAATAACTTGAAGACGTTTTATTGCAGATGAGTTAAGCTTTTAGAGCCTGAGATGTCAGGGAATGTTTATAATGAAGGGTTGCGCTAAAGTGAGCATGCATCAACAATGGTGTTATTATCTTCAGAGATAAGAAAAAAAGGATTTAACATCAATCCAAGAAGAGTCAGGAATGCAGGGCAGAGAATGAGGATATTATTGAGAGGAAATACATTTTTCTAACCCTTTCATGCCTCCTGAGGGGAGATAAACAGATGAACATATTTTTACATTTTTTTTGTTCCCTCAGCTATCAACCTTTGTTTATAAAGGTCCAAATTTAATATCTCAACAGAAATATGAAAGATCTGGCCCAACTATGTATCTGCAAATTAATTTTTATTAAATCCGCTTCCGACTTTAAGTTAAAAAAATGCACTTTATACTTACAACTTTTTGTAATCCCAAAGCACTCTATTTGTAACTGTAGAGTAAAAGAAACGCTGTAAACTGTTCTTAAACCCAAATGATTTCTTATTCTGATTTTGACCGATTCCATTTATTTCCCTTGGGACTTAATCTCATAAAAGAAACCATATGCTAATAATTATTTACTAGAAACAGCAGTTTTGATTCCAACAGGGGAAAAATGAAGACTCCCAAGATAATTGCCATTTCTGAAAGAATATCCTTAACCTTTAACTGATTATGATTAAAAAAAGTTTTTAAAATAAGTAAAATGTAAATATTTTAGTAAAATAAAAGTACATTTTTAATCTCTATAGACAGTATATTGAAAAATGGTATCGATGCCCTATTTGTTGGTACTGATACCGATACCACTATTGTAGTGCAGATTCAGGGCCCCGCCCGATACTGGTATCGGTGCAACACTAAAGTTTATCTTTAGTGTTTCTATCTCACTCCAGTATAAACTTCAGTTGTATTTAAAAAAAAAACATTAAACATTCAAATGTTCTAACTGCCCTCACATAAAAAGGGAAATTTAACTCACTGCCTAGAGGAACCAAAACATTTGGACAGTGTGTCACTGTGGTTTAAGTGTAATGTTAATTTGAGGCCTCTCTTTTGATCTACCTTGTTGATAATAGTTGTATTAAAATGTTGTCTTTGTGCTTACAATTACTAAGGGGCATGAACAAAACTCATAAACAAAGTATTTTGTTCGTTTGATAACTGAACACTTGTAAATATTATTGAAGTGTCATCATAACCGGCTGCATTGTGTTCAGTTCCTTCCAAAATAAATCCTTAATTTAGCCTCAGCTGAGTGTAAAGTACAAAGCAGGCTTGGGCTGATTGTAGATAAACTTGGTCCAAGCTTATGTTAAGATGGGCATACACTGTATGATTTTTGTGCCCTATTTTGGCCGATTTTCGAGTCGTGTGAGAATTCTTTGGATCGGGCCAAGTTTCAGCCTCATTGTGCGTCCTGCGTCATGTAGTATACAGGGGGTAACGAGGGAGGATCAGCCTCTTACGACCGCCTCCCGATCAGGAATCGTAAGGTCGGGAGAAAATCAAATGTTTGAAATCCAGTTGGCACTCGTAAGGTGTTTGTTGACAAATTAGTATCTGTATAATATAATTTGTAGAAGCAGAGTTACGAGCCGATTTACCAGAACTTCGAGCGCTGCGCATGTGCAAACAACAAAGGTCTTCTTCTCCCAGATTTTTGAGTCCGATCTGAGCAATCTCTCATCGCTGAGTCCAACGTTACATTGCATGCAGATAGATTGCATCAGAGCGTCGGGCCGTGCAGTGTGAAAAAATACAATGTGAGCTGTGAACTTTTAATCACTGCGGCTTCGACATACAGTTTGAGCTGTAGCTGCGTGCAACAATTGAAAATATCGTACAGTGTTTGCTGGGAATTTATGTACAGTGGTGTGTACATAAATGTGGTGTGATTAATTTTTTTGTTTGCATGTCACACTGTTTCAGAAAATCCAATAATTGTAAATATTAGTTAAAGATAAAAAAAAGTAATCACAAAGTGTAGGAAAAAATGCAAGCCCTGTGTGAAAAAAATGATTGCCCCCTAAATTCTAGCATAGGCTCCCTTTTTGCAGCAACAGTTGCATTCAACAAACTTGATTTACTTCTAACGTGGAGTGGGTCTTTTCCATAGAAGTGGAGAAGTTTTGACCCAATCTCATCTTTGCAGAATTGTGTTAATTAAGCCATAATGGTAGGTTGTGGAACACAAGGCCTTTTTTTGGCCACTCTACAGCATTTCAATGGCATTTAGGTTAGGACTTTGTCTAGGCCACTCCAAAGTCCTAATTTGGATTTTGTCTTTTATCCATTATGAGGTGGAATCTATGGTGTTTCTGTGGATAACTTTCCTGCTGCAGAATCCAGGTTTGTTTGAGGTCACAAGCAGCTAGCTTGACCTTAGGAGTTTTTTTGTTGTTTTTGTTTTATGGTGGACAGCAGAATTCACGGATCAATTTATCACAGGTGGTCTTCCAGGCCCTGAAGGAGCAAAGCAGCCCCAAACCATCACAATACCACCACAATAATTTACAGATGGTAGAATCTTTTTCTAAAATGCAGTGTTACGGTTTTGTCCTGTCAGTATAGAATATTTTCCCAAAGGATTTGGGGATTATCCATATGTGTTCTTAGAAATTGATGTTATCCTAAATGTTATTTTGCCTAAACATTGGTTTCGTCATGAAACTTTACCATAATGGACATTTTTCCTTGTCTCCCTCTTATGATGGACAATGAGCTTAAAAGTTAGTTTTTCCTTGATGCATCTGCAAAGTCCAAACAGTCCCTCCTGGCCACACTAACATCATTTTGGCATCAACATCCCTCTAAATGTTCCAGACAAATAGGGAAGTTTGTGACTATTTTTGGACAGTTCTGTTCCATGCAGAAATCGTGGAGAATGAGCAACAGCTTCCACCCGCTGGAGTTTTAAAATATAAACATCAAATAAAATGCTATGATTTGGTCCATAAATATCACCACAATCGAAAGATTGTGAACAACTATTGAAAATAAATTACTGTCACTTGTGGATTACCCTAAGAGGCATTGAAAGTTGAAACAATGTTGTTTTACTCATACATGTAGTGTGGTGTTCTTCATGCAGGACATGTATGTTTGGATTTTTATTTTTCCTTCGTATTAAAAACTGCATGTTGTGTTTACTAATTACTATTTACATTTATGTTATGTTCTTAACTAGGGCTGGGCGATATAGAAAAAAAGCTTATCGATAAAAAAAAAATGCATATTGATCGATATTGATAATTATTGAAAAGATTTGAAACCATATTTTATGTGCAGCTCTGCCTGGACATTTTATAATATTGCTAAATGATTTAATTTTAATAAAAAACACAAACACAGACTTCGAATTAAATCTTTATTTAACCAACTTTTTTAACCATAACAGAATTGTTTTAAAGAAAAATAACTTAAGAGACCTGGGTTATGTTATTAAATACTGACAAAGAATAAACTAAAGTGACCAAAAAAGTGACCAAAATAAATATAACAAATAAATAAATGTGATGGCGTGCCTGGGTCCGCGATTGTGATTGGTTGGGAGGAAGTAGTGACTAGCATAAACCTACATGATGGGCTACAATGAGAAGGAAGGAAAACTACGTTTCTTTATCGAACTTTTATCCACTCTCTTTTTTTCTATTGCGCCACACGTCTTTTGATCGATATATATCGTTATTGAATTATCGCCCAGCCCTATTCTTAACCGTTTTAACTATGACACACATGCCAAAACAAATAAGAAGTCAGAAAGGGGCAAACACTACCCCCACTTTATATACTGCTATAAAATATATTGCAGTTAATGTCTGAATTTATGATACTTACAGTAGAGTCAGTTCCTCGTAGTATCTGTATTGTGTACTGTGAAATGGTGATAATTTGCAATACATCTTGCAGCCCAAGAGCGGAGGTTTAGAAATATTGTTCTGAACATGAAGATGTGCAGGGAAATGCTAAACAGTATAAAAATATCCTTAACTAAGCAGGTCAGTATAGTCGAGCAGAATTGGTTTTTCTCAGTTAAATGTGGCGTATGACATTCAGGTGAAACAGGCATGCATTTGTCCTGACTGTGTGACAAACGTACCTCAAGGCCCTACGAGTGAGCTCAGCACCGTGGTAAAGCATGACTGTCAGGCATTGAAAGGAAATGAATCATGTTCCCCGTTTCAAGGCCGTTGAGTTAAGTTGCTAGATTTGTTTCCTTCCCTTTTTGTTAACTTTGCGGTCAGGCCAAAGCACACATTTGGTGTTTGTATGTCCAGAT